GTTGACCCCAAATCTTATGTTCTGAAAAATGTGCTGAACTGCCTGTCCAAGGCTCAGTCATCAGTAGAAATAGATAAAGTATTACTGGTAGTCTCAGGTGTTTAATCTGCTTAAGAGTTCAGGACTTAGAGAAATTACTTTGATCTCTTCAAAGTATGTGTGTTTTTTTTTAAAGATTTATTTATTTATTTTTAGAGAGGGAAGGGAGGGAGAGAGAGAGGGGGGGGAGAGAAACATCAATGCGTGGTTGCTGAGGGCCATGGCCTGCAACCCAGGCATGTGCCCTGGCTGGGAATTGAACCTGCGATGCTTTGGTTCGCAGCCCGCGCTCAATCCCTCAATCCACTGAGCTACATCAGCCAGGGCTAAGTATGTGTTTTGTCCAGACAAAAGCGTTAGTGAATATATGTCTTTATTATATTTTATATTATTTTAAAAAACAGTTTTATTAAGGTATAATTGCCATACAACAAACCATACATAGAGTGACAGTTGGATGAGTTTAGCACATGTAAGCACATGTGAAACCATCACCACCATCACAACACAGCACATAACTGCCACTTCCAAAAAGGACTTTGTGATGCCCTGAAATTCTTTCTAGATTTCTCTCTGCTCATCTCCTTATTCCTACACATTAACTAGTCTGATTCTTGTCACTATAGATTAGTCTGTGTTTCCTAGGTTTTTGTGTAAGTGTAACCATGCAGTATGTATTTTGTTTTTGGTCTGGCTTTTTCATTTAAAATAATCATTTTGAGAGTCATTCATTTTGTCACGTGTTTCAATAATTCATTCCTTTTTATTGCTGAGCAGTAGTCCACCATATGAATATGCCACATTTTATTTATCCATTCATTTGATGGATATTTTCAGTGGTTTCTGGTGTTAGGTAATACCGACTCATTCTGTGAGGTGAGCATTTTCCTGATTACCAAAATCAGAAAAAATAATAGAGACAAATATCCTTCATGAACATAGAAAAATTACAAATAAAATGTTAGTATATCAAATCCTACAGTGTAATATGTCTTTACCAAATGAGGATTATCATAGGAATGCAGAATGAGTTTAACATTCAAAAATCAATGTAATTTGCCATAAGATTAAACTACAATAGAAAAACTATATGAGCATTTCAATATATGCAGGAAAATAATTCAACAAAATCTCAAACTCATCCCTGATATAAAACAAACAAACAGAAAACCCTCTCAGCAAACAAGAAATAAAGAGGAATAAAGAGTGTGTCTGCAGAAACACTACCGCTCATACCGTCCTTAATGGTGAAAGGCTGAACACTTTCCCTAAAATCAGTAGTGAAACCGAATGTTATACTCACCACTTCACATTGTGCTGAGGCGCTAGCCAGTGATATCAACCAAAAAAATTTTCTTAAAAAATAAGGAAATTCATATAGGAAATAAAGAAGAAAAACTATTTAGAGATGACAAAATTTTCTCTGCAGTCAATCTGATGTAATCTACAAAAGCTCTAAAATTAATAAATGGATTTTAGGGAGGTTGAAGGGTACAAGATCAACATAAAAATTGTTTTTGTATATTAGCAATAAAGCACAAAAGCAAATAAACTTTTTAAGCAGTTCAATTACAATAATATTAGAATTATGAAATATAATATTCAGGGATATTACATGAAAAGAGATGGAAAACACCTATATGCTGAAAGCTGTGTAATTTTCCTGAGAGAAATGAAAGAAAATTCAGCAGTCTTAAGACATCAGTTCTTCCCAAATTGATCTGTAGATTCAACAATTCTAATCAAAACCTCAGTAGGTTTTTCTATGGAAATTAACAAATTGATTCTAAATTGCAATGGAAACACACAGGACCTAGAAGATACAGAACAACTTTGAAGAAGAAGAATAATAGAAGACAGCCAAAACTGCCCACTATTAAGGACTATTTAAAGAACAAAACAAAACAAAAAAAGAAGAACTAACCACAGTGAGATACCACCTCACACCAGTCAGAATATCCATCATAAACTAATCACAAACAAGTGTTGGAGAGGATGCTGAGAAAAGAGAACCCTAGTGCACTGTTGGTGGGAACGCAGACTGGTGCAGCCACTGTGGAAAACAGTATGGAATTTCCTCAGAAAACTAAAAATGGAACTACCTTTTGACCCAGCAATTCCACTGCTGGGATTATACCCTAAGAGCCATGAAACACCAATCCAAAAGAACCTGTGCACCCCAATGTTCATAGCAGCACAATTTACAATAGCCAAGTGCTGGAAGCAACCTAAGTGCCCATCAGCAAATGAGTGGATCAAAAAATTATGGTTTATTTACACAATGGAATTCTACACAGCAGAGAGAAAGAAGGAGCATATACCCTGAGTGACAGCATGGATGAAATTGGAGAGCATTATACTAAGTGAAATAATCCAGGCAGTGAAAGACAAATACCATGGGATCTCACCTGTAAGTGGAACATAATCAACAAAAGAAAAATACAAACAAAATATAACCAGAGTCACTGAAATTAAGAACAATCTAACAATGGCCAGAAGGGAGAAGGGAGGGGATGATGGGGAGAAGAGTTTTCAGGAACTACTATAAAGGATACATGGACAAAACCAAGGGGGAGGATGGAAGCAAGGGAGGGAAGGAGGTTTGGAGGGGGAGGAGTGGGGACAAAATACAGACAACTATAATTGAACAACAATAAAATAATTTAAATTAAAAAAAAAGAACTAGAGAAATCAAGCCAGCATGGTATTGGGCCCTGGCCGAGTTGCTTAGTTGGTTGGAGTGTAGTCCTGATATGCTAAGGTTGTGGGTTTGATCCCTGGTCAGGGCACATACAAGAATCAACCAATAAATACATAAAGAAGTGGAACAACAAATCGATCTCTTCCTCTCTCCCTCTCCCTCCTCTCTCTAAAATCAACAAATAAATTTTTAAAAAATTAAAACTAATAAAATCACACAATCACTTTGAAAAATAATTTGACAATTTTTCAAAACTTAAATATGTCCCACTTGTATCATTTCCAGGTTTCAGCCAAGAAAAAAGGAAGTATATGTACATATAAACACTGGTGCATGAATATCTCATTTCTCTGATGTTTCTGAATAATCTAAAACTCCATATAGAACTGGTATTATTTCCTTTTAAAATGCTAGGTAGACAGGTAGAATTTACTAGTGAAGCTATCTGGACTTGATGTTTTCTTTGTGGAAAAAAATAATTTAGCCTTAATTTCTTTAATAGATACAGAGTGGTTTGAGCTGTATGTGTCTTAAGTGAGCTTTGGTAATTTTAAGACCATTCCATCTAAGTGCTCAAATTTATTGGCATAACATTGTTTATAATATTCCCTTGTAATTTTTTGATATCTGTAGTGATACCAGCTTTGTCATTCTTGACATTGTGTCTTTGCTCTTTTTCTTGATTAATTTGGCTAAAGATCAGTTTTATTGATCTTCTCAAAGAAAAAGCTTTTCTGCTTTCCATTTCGTTTATGTCCACTTTAATCTTTATTATTTCCTTTATTCTGATTACGTTGGCTTTAATTTTCCCTTTGTTCTGATATTTTATTTAGGAAGATAAAGTCATTCATTTGAAACCTTTCTTATTTTTCATATAGGTAGTTAGTGCTATACCCCTTAATACTGTTTTACCAACATCCACAAATTCTGTTTTCCATTAGTGAAGAATACTTAATATTCCTTCTGATTTCTTCTTTCATCCATGAGTTATTCAGGAAATGTGTTATTTTGTTCCAAATATTTGGATATTTTCTCAGGATCTTTAAGGATTTCTAATTTAATTTCATTGTGATTAGCGAGCATACTTTGTATGAATTTCTTCATTTTCATTTCATTGAGATTTGTTTTATGACCCAGAATTTGGTATATCTTGGTAAATGTTCCTTGAGCAGTGGAAGAGAATGTGTATTCTACTATCGTTAGACAAATAAATGTCAGTAGGTCCAATTGGCTGAAGAGCTATTCAAGTCTTTAGCTTTGCTGATTTTCATGACTTCCTGTTCTACCAACTATTGGATGATGATACTGAAATATGATTATAATTGTGTGTTTGTCTGTTTCCCTTTACATGACTATCAGCTTTTATTTCATGTACCTTGACGATCTTTTAGTAGATATAAAAATCATTTAAGACTGTTGTGTAGGACCTGTGTTTTGTTATGAAATGACTGTCATTAATTCTGGTAATATTGTTGTCTTTAAAATTTATTTTTTTCCTGACATTAATATAGCCATTGCAGTTTTCTGTATTCCCATCCAGTGTTTTGCTTACTCCCAGAAACTAGTTTTCAACTGCAAAGACTTTTTGTATAGGAAGATTCTAGGAAAAATTATTCAGCCACTCTGTCTGAATAATTTTTTCTCCATTAAAAGAACATAACAATAATGCCTGTACCGTAGAATTGTACTCATGATGAAATATGGGAATATATCAAAGTACTTACAGTTGGCATATGTTGTGGTATAAACTCTGAATACCTGTAATCTGCAGCTGTTATTCCTATGATTATAGCTGCTTTTTCTTAGTTTTCTTAAACAGACATTAAGATATGGAGACAAAAATTTCTGTGGATTTATATTACCAGTAGGTTTCTTGTTTGCACATTCATTAGACATCTTTCATCTAAATAAACTACAGTATCATCATGTAAACTCAAAAGATACCTGTGTTTAATGTTGTTTCCCTAATTTACTAATTTATCATTGTTTATTTAGGATTGTATATAAAGATACAGGTACAGTCCCATTATAATTTTTTTTTCAAATTTAGTGAGTTGCAGTTCTCAAATGCATTAGAATTGTATAATAGTTGTGAATTATTCTCAACTGCACACATCATTTTAAATGGACAAATTGAGAGACTGAACATATTAGTCATTTTGGGTTTTTTTATAATCAAGGGAAGTAAACGTTTGCATTCATTGTTTCATATGTGTCCTTCACATAATTACCATTTATAATGGATCATGCCTTTTTTTAGATTGGTCAACTGGCTTTTAAAGGAATGCGGAGACTCAATAGAATCCAGTCGATTGTGTTTGAGACTGCCTACAACACCAATGAGAACATGCTCATTTGTGCCCCTACTGGAGCTGGGAAAACCAACATTGCAATGCTCACAGTTTTACATGAAATTCGCCAACATTTTCAACAAGGTGTCATCAAAAAGAATGAATTTAAGGTAGGGAGTTAACAAGCCAGACAATAGCTTTTTAAATTGTAAAATTAAAATTATTTGGCAGTTGTGCATGCTATATAAAATCTGGAAGTTTTTTAGGATTATTATACATGAAGTCACATAAAGAATGCTGCTTGATTTACTTCATTAATATTAAGGCAGTCTCTGTTATGAAAATCTCATTACTCCTGTGAAAAGCTATGAAAATACATTTAGCTTCAAAGCAGAACCAATTTTCCAAGTGATAAGGCAATATAAACAAATTCCATTGTCCTTTAAACAGCTGTATACTTATCCAACAAAGATAAGTGCTTTTCATATATCACTATTAAGATTTTTCACTTGAAGTGGCTAGAATCATATTTCACAATAAATTATGACTTGTATTGACTGCTGTGGAACAAACAACATTGTAGTTTTTGCTCATTCATCATACTCGTGTTTCTTTGGCATAGATTGTATATGTTGCTCCAATGAAAGCCTTGGCAGCTGAAATGACAAATTACTTCAGCAAACGTCTAGAGCCACTGGGCATTGTTGTGAGAGAACTGACTGGTGACATGCAGTTGTCAAAAAATGAAATTTTACGAACTCAGGTATGTTGCATGCTTAGATTATTTAATCTGGTCCTTTGTTTTTTAAAGGTAATTGTGAAAATTGTTCAACAGCTATATCTGATGTAACTATAAAACAAAATACAGGCATAATGTAATGAACTTTTATTTGTAACCACATCTCTACAAAAGAGGTTTTTGGTGGGACTTTGCTTTATGGTATACCTTCTAACTTCTATGATTTTTGCTATCTCTACCTTGAGTTAGATTTCTGGTATAGATTTTAAGTTCTTTGACAATAAATATTGTTCCTTTAAAACAATAGGGAATAAAAATGTGGATAAGACAGACTTCAATTTTAGGAGCAGAAAAATGTGTATTCAATAGATCTTTAAATGGTTCCTCTAGTATCCTAAGCCATTGCATAAGGATGATTTAAAATAAAAGCTTTTAGTCATTCTTTATTTCACCAAATAGTAAGTCCTTTAATCATGTCTTGTATATAGCACTCTATCAGGTGAAATTCATGACAGCAAACACATTTAAAATACATGGTTCCTGCCTTCAAGGACCTTTTGACTGGGTAGGCAAAAACTGTTATAGCTACAAGTAGGTTATCATTAACGGATGCAATATATAAGTAAGGTGATGTTTATAGTGCTTTTAAAATAATATACAGAATGACCAAATATTAATGGAAAAATTAGGGCACTTTGATAGAAAATAGGTGATAGAGCTTTTGGAAAAATGAATGGACATTGATTTTACTGCAAGCCCAGCGGCTTAATGTGGGAACAAAATCTTAACTCTCTAACAATTCTGGAGGTCCGAAGTCTGAAATCAAGGTGTCGTCAGGGTTAATTTCTTTTGGAGGCTCTGACAGAGTATCCTTTCCCCATCTCTCTCCTAGTTACTGGTGGCTGCTGGCAGTTCTTGGCATTCCTAGCCTGTAGGCACTCACTCCAAATGCCTGTGTCTTCTTCACATGACCTTCCCTTCCTTTCCCAACTCTTCTCTCCTAAAGACACTATTCATTGGACGTAGGTCTTTCTCTAATACAATATGAATAGATTTCAAGATCTTTTATCTTAACTACATCTGCAAAGAGCCTTCTTCCAGATAAGATTATGTTCAGTTTCTGGGTGGCTGTATCCTTTTGGGTATCACCATTCAACCCACTATAACATATATGCCAAGTACATGGACCACATTACAAAGATAGAAACCCAGGTTCCAGTTAAATATCTTTGGGTTGATAAGGGTAGAGTGCATTATAATCCACATTTACACCATTTTTACCGGTTATTCTTAAGTTTGCCTTTCATAGATATTTGTTTAAAAGTAGATCCAAACCCAGGTACTTTTTTCTCATAACATTTTTGTAGAATCTTATTATTCCAAGTTAATTTTTCTAAAAATGAATAATTGTATTCAGTATTAAATACATAATGCCTTTTATCATCATTATTTTAGTATCACCTGCCTGGAGGTATTTTAATAATTTCTTAAAGTGCCTTTTAATTAAAAAGACTTTCTCTAGTCTTTGATATATAATCAAGTTTGATATTATAATCATAATATTCTTTATGAAATTTGAGTGATTAAATATCATCTAGCCTTTTCCTTGAAGCATTCCACATTTGATTTTGTTAAAGTATATTTTTACATATAGTAACTTTGTCTAACAAATTTTGCTTCTTTTTATATAATTTGTACACTTAACACAATGATCTGAATCATGCCTAAAATTTGAAGTTCATACAATAAGAGGGAAGGGAGTTTTACAGATTTGTCTAACACAGTGTAATGTCATATACAGTTTACATGTTTATGAACATACTAGATTCAGAAAGTTTGTTCATGCTTTCATGAGATGGGGTTCTATCTTATGATGGGTTATGATGGGTTCCAAGGCTAGCAGCTCCCAGGGAGCTCTGAACATGCAGTCACAGAGATCATATCTGAAAAACTACGCATCAGGACATACACTGATAGATAATTCTTTCTAGTGTGTGATTTTATTTTTATAATGTCTTTTAAATGCATATACATTAAATCAAAATTTGATATTTAACAAATTATTTTTATTAAAAGTTAAATTTCCTGAAATTGGAACCATTCTGGAAAATCTGAGACCATACTTATGATATGATATTTCTTACTTAAAGAAATGACTTTTGTATCCTGGTGAGTACAATGCGGTTTAGGGAAGAAATTAAATCAGATCATTCCCCTTGTATTTTGTGGAGATTTAAAAATTAGAATTAAGAAATTTATATGATATTGGATTCTCCAGTTTGCATCCAGCCCATTTTCCATCCTTACATCCCAACTGCTTTCCAAGATAAATGATGGCCAGACCAATTTTGCTTTTTCTAAAATAACATTACTCAAGTAACGTTTTCTGTAATAAACTTGGATATTTAGAAAGTTTCCTCAGGCATTTTATAATTCCTTTATTTAATGGCATTTGTTCAATCTTACCCATTTTTCAAAACTCAGTTTGAATCCTGTGAATGCTTTATTTCTTTTTTTCTGCATCTTATAGCAGCAACATTTCATTTATATTTATAAAATCATACCTTGCTCACAAAGTCTTTGCTTTTGGAAATGGTGTGGTCTTAGAAATCTGGACCACTCTCCAATAAAATATTTTTTTTTCTGTTTTCTTTTTATTGTTGTTGAAGTACAGTTATTTCCATTTTCCCTGCCCCACCCACCCCCAGCTCCTACTGTCAATCCTTCCTTCCTTGGCTTTGTCCATGAGTCCTTTATACATGTTCCTTGACAACCATTCTCCTCTCCCCTTTATCCTCCATCCCTGTTCCCCTCTGGTCACTGTCAGTTTGTTCTTTATTTCAGTGTCTCTGGTTCTGGTTTGTTTTGTTGATTAGGTTCCACTTAATAGGTGAGATCCCATGGTATTTGTTTTTCACTGCCTGGCTTATTTACTTAGCATAATACTGTCCAGTTCCATCCATGCTGTCATGAAGGGTAGGAGCTCCTTCTTTCTCCCTGCTGAGTAGTATTCCATGGTGTAAATGTACCATAGTTTTTTGATCCACTCATTTACTGATGGGCACATATGTTGCTTCTAACACTTGGCTATTATAAATTGTGCTGCTGTGAACATTGGGGTGCATGGGTTCTTATGGATTAGTGTTTCAGGATTCTTAGGATACAGTCCCAGCAGCGGAATTGCTGGGTCAAAAGGCAGTTCCATTTTTAGTTTTCTGAGAAAATTCCATACTGTTTTCCACAGTGGCTGTACCCGTCTGCAATCCCAACAGTGCACTAGGGTTCCCTTTTCTCCACAACCTTGCCAGCATGTGTTATGTGTTGATTGTTTATGATGGCCATTCTGACACATGTGAAGTGGTATCTCATAGTGGTTTTAGTTTGCATCTCTTTGATGGTTAGTGATGCTGAGTATCCTTTCATGTGTCTCTGGGTCCTCTGTATATCCTCCTTGGAGAAGTCAAGTTCAGGTCAATTAAAATCTTTATTGCTGTTGTACTGTATCAAACTGTGTATTGATACTAAGGAAAGACTACTTAAGGAAACACAGACAGGTAGCATTTAAATTCAAATTATGATCCAGTCACTATGCTAAATATATATATGTGCATCCTCACTCAGTACCGGAACCTTATTGAGTAGTGTCTCCATTTTACATACCCAAGAAGTCAAACTCATTAAAAATCTACATTGATATACAAATTAGATTTTCAAAAGGTTTATGAGCATCCCTTTTTTTCCATTTGTGCATCTCTGTACTTTCCTAGACCCGCTCTGTATCCTTTGTGAATAATTGTTAACTCTGCAAGGGCAGGGACCATGTGCTTACCCTCAATAAAAGTTTACAAATTGAACCTCCTACATTGTGCTTGCTCTTTATTTTCCTCCAGAGTAGACTATCTGTCAGTGATGCTAATTTTTGTAGACCTGAGACCACATAGTAACCATACAACGTGAATTGCTGATTGTTAGAAAGGACCACACACACACACACTTGCCATGTATTCTTCATTTTATTAAATTGGAATTATAGTGCAGGGCTATTCAGGATAGTAGCCACTAGCCACATGTGACTATTTAAATTGAAATTAAACAGAATATAATAAAATTGAAAATTGTTTCCCTCATTTGCACTAGCCTCATTTCAGCTGTTTAGTAATTACCAGTGGTTACTGAATTAGATAATGAAGATACAGACCATTTCTGTTTTCACAGAGTTCTATTGCACATTGACAATAGTGTTCTTAAAGGAAGCATGAGGCAACAGAGAGCAGGAGATGAGGCAGTGTACTTGCTTTTTCTCTTGTTATGGGGCATACAGTTCCAGTGTACAAGGTTCTGTCACAGTTGTCCCCTTTTATAGAATTTAGGCTTATAGTCTCTGGTCTTCAGTTTAAGGAAATGCTTACAGGTGTTACACTTTCTTTGTTCTGAAACTATTTTGATACAGTTCTCAACTGTATACTTGAGAATCTCAGTTTCTGACTTCCTGGGATCCTGCAGAGCTGGCTCCCCATAGTAATCCACAGTATTTTGTGTTTTATTTAACTCTTGCTTGGATATTTGTTTACAGTGTTCTCAAACTTCCTGTTAGAAAAATCAGAGAGTATATATGATTTACTAGAAATGTGTACTAAAAACAAAGCATATGATATAGGAAATAAAAGCCTAATAAGTTTTGAAAAAATGATGTAAGTGCTTAATGTTGAAGGTTGCAAAACAATCCTGTAGAACATGAACATTTCAACACATTCAAATTAGTAACTGGGAGTGGCATTTTCATCAATTTGTCATTTCATAATTTATCATTACAGACTTAATTTTGATGTTATTTTTACCAAGTTATTTATAGTCTTATTAGAAACCAGTTTAACTTTAGTCCATATATCTTTAAAAAATTTTTTATTGTTGTTCTATTACAGTTGACCCCATTTTTCCCCTATTGCTCAGTACATATATCTTTATATTACATATCTAAGCATTGAAATTTTTGTATCACAGTGTTGATTATATATTGCTCTTGA